ATACCCTTTTTGCTATACCCATAGCAAAAAGTCATTAAGAGTCGTTTATTGGCATGTCCATTTAGCAGGTTAGGAGTAGGTTTTTCCCTACAGCTCATGATCTAGCTAGCCACAGGTTCTTGGCCTCATTAATGGTGTCACATATCTCATGGAGCAGGCCTTAAAGCTAATTCAGTCAGTTACTCTCTTAACATTCACTACTGTTGGCTCCAGTTGGCATATCTTGCCCTGCAGGTTGTGATTCTAGTTCTCAGTGATCTTAGCTGAGTGGGACTGCTGATTACTTTGAATTTCTTATAGTGTGCAGCACTATGTGAACTCTAGCCAGTAGAGATGAAGTTTCCAGTTGACTGATAGCTGAATGTCTGTATGCCCTATAACTCAAGTTTGGTTTTTTTAGCAGTAGGGTTTTACTGTCAAGTTCTTGAGAGTAATTGATAGCATTGGCAATAGCCTGTAATTGTGGGAAGGGGGGGTCAGTGACCCTATTGGCAAACAACTCAAAAAGAGGTAACCCATTCCTGGTACTGGGAGCTTTATTTAGTTATGGATGTTATCTAGTTGAGATATTGTCCTCTCACTATAGAGTACCTCAGTTTAAACTGGAAGCTTCCACAATAGTACGTTTCTATGTGACTTTTTCCAAAAGGTCTCCAGTGTCAGTTACACCTCCCCATATTCCCTCTTGTACCCTGTCCTTCCATCCCTCAAACCATTTCATTTTTCCTGTTCCATTTCCCCCTTTCTCCCTTTATAGCACTATATTCTATTTTTTCTTCCTTGAAAAGACCCCTCTCCTCTCCCATGTCCACTTACTAGTTATCTAACCTGTATGTGTATTCCAAATGAAATATACATATGTAAAGCTTAAAAGTTAGCATCAGCATACGAGGAAAAAAATGCAGTATTTATATATCTGGGTTTCCTTTACCCCATGCATGTTTGTTTTCAGTCCCCTGCATTTACTGGCAGTTTTCATAGTCTTGTTGTCTTAACAACTGAATAATGCTCTATTGTATAAATGTGTCACATTTTCATTATTTATTTATCATTTGATGGACATCTAAGCTGTTTCCATTTTCTGCCTATTGTGAATACAGCAGCCATGATTAAACAAGTATTTCTGTAGCAAGATACACAGTCTTTGGGTATACGCCTAAGAATGGTGTAACTGGATATTATGGTGGATTTATTTTCAGCATTTTGAGGAACTTCCATGCTGATTTCCATAATGGCTATACCACTTTGCATTCCCACCAGGGGTGAACAAATGTTCCACTTTCTTGATATCCTTGCTAGCAATTTGCTGTCTTTCTCCCCCACCCCTAACCCTTGGAGACAGGTGGCTCTGGCTGGAGCTTGCTATATAAACCAAACTAACCTGCAGTTCCAGAGATCCGCCTGCCTCAGCTTCTGCCTCCTAAGTACTGGAATTAAAGCCCCCCCCCCACATTGAGCA